CAACAAAATCGACTTTTAGCATCGGCGTTTGGAGGATATTTTGTTTTGCACATTACGGATTCATGGGTATCACGGCATTTGGCACGACGGCGCAAAGAACTTTCTTGGATAGGACGAAGTTCACGGAATGTATAGTATGGTAATAATGAGAGCGATATAGACGAGGGGTTGTAGGAAGCGGAGTCTTCCTCCTCAAAGGTCAAATGATGTGTATACGGAAAGGGCCAGATATGAGATGAGCCTGGTAATTTATGAGAACGATGAATGCATAGAGATGAAGAGAACAATTGCATATATCACGATACCATTTTACCAAGAACGTTTTCCAGTGATGTTAAGTTTGACTTCCTTCTTCATATCTACTACCTACGCAGCAATAGCCGCCTCAGTAAGTCTACTAATCTCCAACTCGCCATCGCCACCCAGATTATCCAAGCCATGGAACCCCTCTTCCACAACCCACTTCTGTTCGTACTTCATCAACACTTTACACGCGTTGCCCACGACCAGTAGGCCAGGCGGTCTGCTGCCTTCCTCTTCGACCGCAGCACAAACATGTTCCAGTGTCGTTCTGATGACTCTCTGATCAGGACATGAAGCGCGTTCTAGTACGGCGACGGGTAGATCGGCGGGGTACGCTTTGCCGACTAGACTTTCGACTAGGGCGGAGAGACGGTGGAGAGACATGAGGAGGACGAGGGTGCGGGAGGCTACGAATTCGGGTGGGTCGAGGGGCGCGCCTTTGCGGCCGGTACCGGTGCAGATGAGGACTTGGTCGGCGATGCCGCGGTGTGTGGCGGGTATAGCGGCGAAAAGGGGCGCACTCAGGGCGCTGGTAATACCCGGTAGCACACTGGGTATGAAGCCGTGCTCGCGGAAGAAGTCGTATTCTTCGCCGCCGCGGCCGTAGATGTATGGGTCGCCCTGCTTTATCCGCACGACTACTTTGCCCGCCTTCAAGCCTTCCAGACCTAGCTCCAGAAGCTCTTCTTGCGCTTTGTCGGCATTTCCGGGGAACTTTCGTGCGATGTGGACGGTTGCGCGGCGGGGTACGAGATCGAGGATGGGTGCGGGGACGAGTTTGTCAGCGAGGATGAGGTCGGCGGAGAGAATGGCTTTGTGCGCTGCGCGGGTGAGGAGGTCGGGGTTACCAGGGCCGGAGCCTGCCAGTATGATACGACCTGGTCGTCGTGCGGCTGTGGTGGCGGTGGGTCCGACCTTGGAGGGGCTGCTGCTGGCGAACTCGCGGAACAGCATGTCGACGTCTGCATCTGTGATGCCTGCGAGACGACGTAGGGGCCAGTACTCGCATATCTGTGAGAGCCAACGCATGCGACGTCCCCGTGCAGCTTCCTTGCTCTCCTCCATGATCAGCTTGTTGAAGGTTGCTGGCTGCCCGCTGTCTTCTTCTTCTGCCTCTAGATCTTGCGACAATTCTGCCGCATGATCTTCTTCCCATATGCGTCGCCGCAGTGTGCCTAACCTCTCCACTGCATCACCCAACCGCGGCGGCAGTGACGCCGCAATCTCCCTCTTTATTCTTGCAGAGAGCTTGCACCCCTTTCCAGATGTTGTGATACCGATCTGTAGAGGGCCGTCGGAGTGTGTGGACAGGAGGGTGAATGAGCAGAGGTTCGGCGCATCAGCGACGTTGACTGGTATACGTAGTCTCCGGCAAAGACTCGAGATGTGGGTTGCTGTGGCGAATTAGAGTGAATTCGAGACATACTCTCATGCCACGTACCTGATGTATGTTTTCCGCCCGCAGTGACAAATACAGCGTCTACTACGCTGTCCACCTCCTCGCGTCCCAGCGTAGTCAAGTCGTCGTCTTTGAAACTCCGTTTTAGCCACTTTACTTCGCCCGCCTCAATTCGCTTGACAAGTCCATAGTGAAGTGTGGAGTCCTCAGGCGCGAGCAGTATCGGTTTCGCGCCAACCTCTATTGATCGGGCGCATCGCGCGCCTGCTAGTGGATTGGAGCCGACTATAAGGTGGATGTGGGATGTGGCGTCTACCGCGGTAAGAAGTGCTGGCGCCATGATGAAGTATGCAGAGGATAAATCTGAACAACTTCGAGATCCACGAAGGAGGGGCAGTAATATGAGTAGAGGCAATCGTCGATGCGGTTACTCCTCGGCGGTGTTGATAATGCGCGTGGCACATTATTTGTTCCGATAGCGACGAGCCGATATGGCGCGATCGCACTAGGGCATTCCCGCGGAAAAAGGCGAAATATGAGTGGTTGTTCCGCCCAATGGTCGATGGTGCAATTGACTGCTGTCAGACTTGCGCGGAGTTAGTCCATCTGCTCGTCTCGACCCATGACTATGTTGAGCGCTTTTCGGCTCAACATCACACTGTGTCCTAGGGCGTTGAGCTTTGCCGATGCGGATATGAGAGCGGGGTCTTGGCTCTCCACTCGAATTTTCTCTTTCACGCGGACGTCGTGGTCCTTGTACTTGAATGTGCGGTCGGCCTCATCGTGCGCAGGTGCTCGTGCCCCGCCAAGTGCTGATGCAAAGGTGTTGCGGATGCTGAAGCCAGTGAGCGACGTGCTATCACCGGCGTTGTGTGGCTCGAGAGTGCGGATTTCGAGAACGAGGGCGGCATCGAAGACGAACAGGTGGAAGGACACATTCGCTGGCAGTGGAGGGTCGAATGTCTGTGATTGTCAGCAGTGCCCGTGTTGAATGTTCAGGTGCAGCCTACCTTGTCGTCGACGGGGTTCTCCCACCACGACGGCTGGACATCCGAGTAGCCCTTCAGTGCAGCCTGCGCTTCCAGTATGTGATCGTGCAGCAGCTGCAGTTGCCCGGATACGAAGTTGGCATTGGTGGCATCGCCGCCCCAGGTAGCCACGTCGATGACGTCGAGGCAGCTGTTGATGGAGGTCCGAATCGAGGTGAGCTGGGGCACAACGAGCGTCGGCGCATGCGGTGCAGCGGATATGGCGAGGTCGTACGTCAGGGAGCCTTTGGGCGGTGGGAGGCTTGCGAGGCGGAGCTTGACGTTCTACATGGTGTGAGCTGCTGCATGGGGACGGAGAGTGGAGGACGTACGCCTTTGGTGATGCGCGTGCCCACGCGAGTAATGAGGCCCTTGAGACTCTCGGAGCGCACCGAAGTCAGCACAAGTGTCGAGCCATTCTCCGACGGCGCAAGCAGGGCAGCGCACTCCTCCAGGCCAGCCTTGAGCGACTGCAGCGTCTCGCGGAGTTGCACCAGCAGCCACTCGAGCTCGCGCGCTTGCGACTCTGCCTGCTCGTGGGAGAGACGGGCGTCATCGATGGGCGGCCACACAGCAGTCGACATGGCGGTGATGGCTTCCAAGTTCCAAGGCACGATGCGGCAGATTGTTGGTGTCGGGCTGCCCGAGCTCCTCGATGGCCAGGATCCACCGCTCACACTGCGGATCTCGCTACTATCCGAGGAAGGAAGCCATCCCTGCATCTCTCCGCCCAGCTCTTCACGTGCCGAACACATCACGCACTTGCACACACATTAAAGCCCTCCGTCACGATCCGTCGCATCCGCCAGCGTGTTTGCAGACAAGCCGCGGACCCTCTGGCTGCTTGGGCGTGTCGAGCAGCCTCGGGATGATGCAAAGCGCGCGCGATAGTGCCGTAACCCTGTGCGATGAGGGAGCTAGTCGACGACGCCAACAAAGAGCCGATTCACAGGTGCACTACGTCACCCGCTTGGCCGCACCTCATAAACAAGCTTGCCAGGCCTCTTTTCGTCGCGCGTTTGAGACGCAGCTAGCCACGTCGAACCATCCTCTGTAATCGCACCATTATCGTGCATCCTAATCTTAATAACCTACACCCTTGCGACGACGACTCTTTTGGATACCACACATCATGGCTGTAGCTAGTACGTCGCCCGTCGCTTCCCAATTCGGTTGCGCATCTGCTAACACACCTTCCAGGACCTCTTCTCGCATTCGGCTCGTTGATCCTGGTCGCTGGAGGCCTGCTCTTCCAATTCCTGACCATCCTCACCGGCGGTGTCAACAAGGCTCCTCTCACCAAGTTCTACTTTCTCGAAGCCACCACCGGCGGCATCCCTAACGCGCGAAACCCATCGCGATGGACCTTCTTCGCCATCTGCGGCGCCGACCCCGACTCCGGCAACAATGCCAACTGCGGCTCACCTGTCCCAGCCCTGCCATTCGACCCTCCTAGAAACTTTGGCACCCAGGAGAACATCCCCGAGCAGTTCATCGGTACCCACATGTACTACTACCTGTCTCGCTTCATGTTTGCTTTCTACCTGATTGCTCTCTTCTTCGCTGCCATCGCCCTCATCTCCGGTCTTCTTGCGCTCTGCAGCCGTCTTGGAGGGTACCTCTCTTCCCTGATGACCTTTGTCGCCCTCTTCTTCCAGACGCTCGCTGCAGCTCTCATGACGTAAGTCCACTTACGTTTCCAACTTTTAGTGCATCGACTAACATCCACCAGCGCATGGGTAGTCAAGGGTCGCGATGCCTTCCGCTCCGCCGGCTTCGAAGCAAGCATCGGCAAATACCTCATGGGTTTCACCTGGGCCGCCGTCGCCTGCTACTTCCTCGCCACCGTCATGTTCTGCCTCGGAGGCCGTCTCGGCGGCGACCGCTCTTCCAGCATGCGCCGCAGCCGCTCTACCAAGTCGAACCGCAGCCGGGGTAGCTTCTTGGACACCGAGTCCCAGCGCAAGCCCAGGGACTACTCCCCATAAACTGATATTGAACGAGGATGAAGTGGCTCAATTGGGCGAGGTCCAACAAGGACCATATGGAGGAAAACTGATCTTTTACGCGACGATATCCACGATTTGATTTTGTAATGAACGAATATAATACCTTGCTATAGCGCGCGAGTTAATGCTAGTATTGTACATATGCACATATAGCAAATATACTTCAACCAAAACTGTATTTTAATGACCATGCTAGGGAGTTGATCGGTATGAACACACGTATTCGCACAATAAGCTTACAAAAGCCGCACCCAACCAGTCTCATTCCCCCTCCCACCAAGTCTCAAACATGCCCCCAGTGCCTCCCAAATCCAACACCTCGCCACGTCCTCCTCCCCCACCTCCCTTCTCAACCAGAGTCCACAAATCAAACGGCACCAACTCATCCTCACTATCCACCATATCCTCATCCTCCTCATCCTCATCCCCGCCACTAACACCCACATACGCCGTAACCCCCCTACAACTAGCCACACACTCATCCATCAGATTCCAATCTCCATCCGGAACCGCGAGTTCCAACTGCGGGTCGCCGAGCCCCTCGTAGCGCATAATCGGCGGCGCGCCGTTGGATAACGTGTATGTAGTTTCGCGGCCCGTGAAGCGCGAAGTGTACGTGTGGGGCTCGCCGCGCTTGGAAGGCAGGACGACGGTGTGTGCTTCGTATTCTGCGAGGGCGGCGTTGTATTGGGGCGGAGTGAGCTTTTGTTTGGCGTAGAAGGAATTGGCGAGGAGGCGGGAGCGCGCGGTGTGGCCTTCGATGAGGGCGATGGCGGGGTGGGGGATGTAGCGTGTTGTGCTTCTCTCTTGTCCTCCTTCTGCGTCTCCATCTCCGTTTCCAGGTTCTTGTGAAGTTGGAGTCGAAGCAGCAGCAGACCACGGCGCCGCAACACCCATTCCTCCCTCCCCCAAAAACTGATTCCAGGGCTTCACACCACTAGCCCAAGGACCCGTGTCGTATTCACCTACCGGACACATAGCCTCACCTCTCGGATCATAGATAACCTGGTCCCACGAATCCGCCTCTGTTCTCCGACCCCAAATCGTGACTTCGAACAAAGTGATGGTGTCGCGGACTGCTTTCTCAAAGTCTCGGGCGCGCGCCACGCCGATGAGTGCAGCGCTGTGTTCGATGGTCTCATCAAGCACGGTTTCGTAGGGAAGGATATGCGCAGTTTCTTGCCAGATATCCAGCAGGTAGAACCAGATTGATTGCATGAGGGGCGTGTCGATGGGGTGGAAGTCGGCGAAATAGTCGAGGAGCGTGGCGGCGCATGTCCAGTACTTTGCGGTGAAGGCGGACTCGCAAGGGTCGCAGGGCCAGAGGTACTGGGGGCGGTGCGGGCATGGTGGGTAGGTGAGAAGGGATTTGATGCGCCTGTAGGCGATGGAGAAGTCGATGTCGTTGCGGCCGAATGTGTAGCGTGTGGCTATTGCGGGTGTTGTGGAGTGGTCTGTCACTAGGATGATGGGTGGCGGCGGCATTGCGACGGGCTTTAACGAGCGAGAAGCCATCGCGTCGGCAACTAGACCTATGTGAGCTGACCTTAGTTAGTAGTAAGTGTGTTGTTTCTAGAGGGCAAGTAGCAATCGAAGTTGATAGAGTAGTGCCAAGACTTGCCGCCTTGCACAATAGAATTAAGATGAGCGGCTCACAATAAGAGCTGTAATAGAAGTGAAAGAGATCCATCGCGTCCGAAGAACCGTACCAAATCGCTCCCGTCACGCCTACCACTTCGACATGCGACTAAGCGTACTCATCCTCCCATGCTGCATGTTGCTCAAGAGCGCTTCTTCCAGCGCTGACTGACTGATACCTGCATCTGTCCGATGTGAGTATATCAATCTAAGGGTGGATAATCCCAGGACTCACCATCAATGTCGCTGAAGCTGCTGCCCATACTCGGCGTGCCTTCACTACCTTCCTTTCTGGATCGCAGTCCTCCGCGTCGTGGACTACCGAGTCGGCCTAGCGCGGCGCGGTGATCCGAGGCAGGGCTCATAGGGCTCTTTGCGGCCGAAGGAGGTCCGCCAGAGCTAGTCATTGACGACGCGGTCTCAGTGGTCGCGATCGATTGTACATCCATAGACGTTTGTCTGACAGGCGGAGCATTCCTTGCGCGGGCAGGTTGCAGAACCTTTTGCTCCTTGCTGCTACTAGCTCGGAAGCGTGAGTCTTGCGCGTACTTGCTATTGCTTGGTCTGGTCTTGACTGAAGTTGCAAAAGGTAGACTTGTCTCGTGTGAGCCTGAATCGTCAATCTCTTGCGTTCCGTCTCCTTCCTCAAACGTCGAAAGCTCTCGCGGTTTCTTCTGCTGGAAACGCGGCGGGCGCTTGAAGAGTTGGCTTCGATGAGCTGGATGGTCAGTATCTGATAGCGATGATGAGCTCGAGGACGACGAATCGGGAATGTCTGGAGACGCTGCTTCGTGATTTCGATAACTGGGTGGTGAGATTGGTGCATTTGCCCGGTCTTCAGACCTTCTACTTGTCAAGTTAGGTCGCTGAGTGGAGCGTGTAGACAATGTTCGAGCTGGTGCTTGAGTGAGTGCTCGGGATTGAGTGATAGTGGTGGTAGACGGTGTCCTCGAGAGCGAAGGTGCTAAGATATGTGAGAAAACATGTCTACTGCGGCATCTGAAATGCTTGTCGAATAACTTACCGGGTATCACTACCTCTGCGCCACGCAGACTCGGACTGTCCTTTGAGCGTCCTGCTAACGCGGATGTAGTCCTCCCAGCTACGTTTTGTCAGCAACATCAAATGGTGTTGATGTTTTACATACCTCCAGATCCGGCACTTCCACCCCTTCGCATCGCAACGCCACCCACAGCAGTAAGCGTACTACCACCAGTTGGCGAAGATGACGGGGCAGCATTCGAGATGCTGACTTTCTTCATTTGGTTACGAACATGATCTAGGTGTCGCTCATATAGCCATGCGGCCTGTTGAAGAAGAAAGGTTGGTGGGACTTGAAACTTGTCCGCTCTGTCACATGGTCAGTAAGACTGATGCATTGCGTAGCGTGGATGTACATACAACTCAACCCCTACAATACATTAGCATTTCTTTGAGATAATTTTCGAACTGAGTTCTGGATACTTACAGTTCAAGTCGCTAGTCTTGGAAGACTTGGAAATAACCTTCCATAGTTGACGGTCTCTCTCAGCATCCCATTGTGCCTGTGTCGCGGTCAGATGAGCCCCGGAGACGCGGACAGATGCCACTTTACCTGCGGAGGATCTTCAAACTCACCCCGGATGAACGGGAGACGTATCAGAGCTGTGAACTGAACTGACGACATTAGAGATGATCTGGTTTAGCTGCAAGGACGTAGAGTGATGAAGGGGTGGTTGGGTGAGGTGTGATGCGGCTAGGCGATCAAATGAAGTAAGGCGTGAATCGATCTACGCCCGGGCTTGTGACCGATTAGGCCGGAGCAGCAATCAGGTAACAATGGAAGTAGACGACTGTTCCAAACGAACTTGAATTCGTTTACATGCGTTTCCGATGATCACGGCGCAGTTACAGTACTAATCCTGGTTAACTAAGCCTCGTGTACTAAGGCAACCATCGCAGCCTGGATCAAGCACCGCCACACCTTCCTCGAGAAAGCCACAGCGGCCCCGCTGAAGCACAAAATACTCGACGCGGGATCGTGCATAAATCCCCACCAAACACAGTCACTCCCCGAACTCAACACCAAGAAATCAACTCACGGGAAAAAATGTCGGCTCAAGCGGTCACCACCATCGACATCCAAGGCAAACTGCCCAAGATTGCCTCTGGAAAAGTGCGCGATCTCTACGCCATTGACGATGACACACTACTATTCGTTGCGAGCGACCGTATATCAGCGTATGACGTGATTATGGAGAATGTAAGTTCAACTCTACCAAACTTCAATGACACTTGAAATGGAACCAAGAGCCTCAGACTAACAAACCCCCAGGGCATCCCCGGAAAAGGCGCCCTCCTAACCGCCATGTCAATATACTGGTTCAACTACCTACCCACCAAAGTCCCCGGCCTAAAAACCCATTTCCTCTCTTCAGATCTCCCACCCGCTATCCAGGACCAAATCTCACTCAAGGACCGCAGCATGCAAGTCCGTCGTCTGCGCATCCTCCCCATCGAGTCCATAGTCCGCGGCTACATCACCGGATCAGGATGGTCCGAATACACCAAATCGGGCACCGTCAACGGCATCAAACTCCCCACCGGACTCGTCGAAGGCCAGAAGCTACCGGAACCACTCTGGACACCGAGCACCAAGGCGGAAGTAGGCGGCAAGGACGAGAACATCAGCCCTGAGAAAGCGCGAGACATGATTGGTGATGCGAAGATTGCGCAGCGTGTTGAGGAACTTTCACTTGCTATCTACAGCGCTGCTGCAGACCGCGCAGAGGAGGTTGGTATTGTTCTCGCGGACACGAAGTTTGAGTTTGGCGTTGATGAGATGGGCGAGGTGGTGCTTGTTGATGAAGTGTTGACGCCGGACAGCTCGCGCTTCTGGCCCAAGGAGTCGTGGGAGAAGAACCTGGGCAAGGCGCAGCCGAGTTATGACAAGCAGTTTTTGAGGGATTGGCTGACGGGTGAGGGGTTGAAGGGCAAGGAGGGTGTTGAGGTGCCGCAGGATATCGTTGAGAAGACGGCAGCGAAGTATAGGGAGGCATGTGAGAAGCTTACGGGGAAGAGTGCGTGAGAGGTGGTTGTAGTTGCAGTCAAAGTCGCATTGAGGCGGTCGAGATGTGAAAAATTGGCGCGTTGATGTCACTTCTGACACTCATGCGTATATAATAGCAGCAATGGAAGGCATTGAAGACAGAACACTTGACATGTAGTGGTATGTATATCGAAAAAAAAAAAGCCCTATATATACATCTACTAGTCTCTCCGACCCTGTACAAGCCCTTCCCGCTCTTCTTCATCCTCATCGTCGATATGCTTCCCCGGATGCCGATACAGCACATAATGCTGCAGCATGAAGATAATATCAAACACAATAGTGATGTTGCCCAGTCCAAACTTGACTGGATTACCAGTAACACCACTCCAATCATTCTCCAGCGCAGAATCAATGCACAATTGTGCGAGCGAAAGCCAGCCACCCGCAAAGTCCAAGAGCATAGGGTATATACTCCACCCTAGTGTCGACTTGCGCTTGTAATTGACCCAGGCCTGGGGTATATACTTGAGGAAGACGGTGAGGAGTTTGACGTATCCGAGCGTGTAGATCTGTTTCGCATTAGTACCATCCAGGACGTTTGAAAGTCGTAAAGCAGGAACTCACAACATCGATCCACGCCCACCCTTCAGCATCATATCCCCGCCCAGCCTCATTCATCTTAACCAACACCACCACAACCCCAATAGCAAGCACACACCCCCACCAAACCCCCAGTATAACCCGACTAACCTTCTGCCTCTTACCAATCTCAAAGCCCCAAATCCTCTCGAAAAACTGACTATATATAATCACGCACATGACCGCGCCATGTGCCGCGAACAAGAAATCGTTGAACCGCACCGTCGTCTCCGGCGCGTCAGGATGACGTGCCGCATATTGCGCTTTTATCGTCGGCGAGTAGAGGAAGCAGGCCGTGGAGATGGTGTAGCAGGTGAAGCCTAGGACGTTGAGGGTGGGGAAGTCGATGGCGAGGCCGAGCGTGGATTTGCGCAGGTAGTTCGATATGGGTTGGGGGTAGAAGGATAGGGACCTGTTGTGGGGTTGGTTAGCTGGGGCTGACAGGAGGAGGGATGGTAGGTGGGTGGATGGTAGGTGGGTGGTACTGACCACGACAGGAAGTAGGCCCAGCCCAGAACGCGCGATATGGCTCGCGCAAAGGCTTCGAGCTCGGGGGTCATCGTCATGGTGCTGGAAGGCGAGGGCTGCACATGTGCGATAAGTACTGTCTGGCTTGCGCGCTCACTGTGGAACGATGGACGAAGCGTAGCTGGAGCAAGTGGAAGACAAAAGAACGTGAGCTATCATAGACAGCCAGAAAGCAGAGACATGTTGCTGAGACAAGTACTCATGGTGAGCGCCTGATGCTGCGGCGTGTACTGTACATGTGCGATTGCGACAGTGGAGATGCGCGCATGCCCGCGGGATGACAGGGATGTCGGAATGCCTGCTTGCAACGCCGAAGTGCTCATTCGCCGCCGGGTTCATCTCAACCATGCCGACTGTGCATCGTGCCGGCTCTCAATTCAGCCGTATCATCAGAATTGCATACATGCTGTATTACAAAGAGTTCGGCATTGTTAGAGACGAGGTGATGTAGTTTCCTACTTTACAGCCTTAGCAACCCTCAAGGTATAACTTCAGTCCCTCTGCCTGTGCCTCAAAAGATTCCTGCAGACTCTCTCCAAGCGTATCCTTCAAGACTTCAGCAAACAACCCATTAAACACTTCTATCGACTCATACAACACTGTGCCATTACCTATGTCGCTGAGCGCCTGCCAGCGCGTCGAGGCAACAGCGAGTTCCCCCAAGTAATCCCATGCCAATCTTCCCAACTCCGGCTGCACATGAGTTATGCGCTCAGCGGACAACTGCGTGTTCAGGAGATTGTCGGGCGTGTCCTTGTTCACCGGCAGCGGAAGCGGAGGAATCTGCACTCGGAAGAAGAGGAAGTTGCCCTCGACCGGTCGCTGATCAGGCAGGGTGATGTTGCCCTTGGCTGAAGTAGTGAGGGCATAACGCACAAACGGGTTCCAGGCTGCGTAGTTGGGGAAGTCGGTGAGTACGTCCCAGGCGGCGAAGACGGTGGATTTGATTTCTATGCGTGCGGTCGCATTGAAGACGCCGGGTGCTACGGCTGGAAGATTTGTGTATTCGGACTGGGCAAGAGCCGCAGGGAGGAGCGTCAAGGAGACGAGGCTGAGGAACTTGGACGTGAACATGATGGATGGATGGATGGGATGGACTGGGTTCCAGCCTGGGAAATGCATACTTTTGTACCGGAGCCTACCCGAGGTTTATTGCTGCATTAGCCACATCGCTTAGGAGACGATGCGAGTGTCTCCTGGGATAAATGTCGCCGGCTCCAAAAATGGTAATCTTCATAAGCGTCGGGTCAAATCTCCCCTGGGCGGATTACTGGGCATGGAAACCAATAAGTTTAATGCCTGTCATTGTGGATGGGACAGAATCCGACGGAGTCCAACGGACGCTGCCTATGTACTGGAGGCCCGGGCCTTGTACATCGCGGAGACTAAGCTCACCGCTGGATACTGGCTATCATTGCAGCAGCAATGAGGTTGGAGATGTAACCTTGGAAGCACGTGCAAGGCGCGGGACGTGTCGCGGCATGTGGGCCATGATATGCATGCGGAGGACGTCACTCCAGTCTCTCGGAATGCATCGCGGAACGCCGCATGTGGCTGCCCAACAACCTGCTCAGGCATCTACCGTGCTCGCTGCAGTCACTTGACATCACTAGCAGCGCGCAATCTGCGAATGACTAGAGTCGGCCAAAGAGGGGCTAGATAGCAGCGCAAAGGGCGGTGCCGGCGGCCGTGATGTGGTGGGCGAATGGAAGGCTGAGGGCGCGACATGCACCTGCATAAGCTATGAGCTGCCCCTCAGCACCGCGACCTGGCCAGCGACACAACTAACTGCACTTACGACGCCCTGCATACATATCTCAACACTTGGGAGCTTAGATAGAGCTCCAACTTGACTCACCTCTGCGCGCCCATCCAGACTTCTCTGCATAACGCGCTGAGGGGCCCCATATCTAGCGTGCCGCGTGAAGCTCCAGCCCCGCGGCTCAAACAACAGCCACAACGACCCTCCCGACGATACCGAGTGACAAGCAGAGATAGGCCCCGATAACGCGCCGAGTCAGGAACAAGGCACCAGTGTTGTTGTGTATAAGTGTCTTGCTGTGCAAGCACGCGCCCGCCACCTCCACGAGTCCTGGTCACGGAGGCGCATGACGCAACGCCCGTTTAGCATTCATCCCAAGTCACCCGCCGCCGTCCTCATCCGTCGCTACCCCCACAACCTCTCTCGCGCCCACGACACCTACCACTTCCTCACGACTGAGCTAGCGCTCCAACAGACCCTTCCACACGCTCCTCCGCAGGTTATATGAGCTCATCGCCCGACAACGCCGCCGAGCATACGACGCCCGTCTCCAACCTCACCTACTTGCACAAGCAGCAGCGCAAGGGCACCAAGGTACAGGACACACCACAAGCACGCGGCCGCAACACGTCGAGAAATGAGTTGGGAAGAAGAAATAAAGCGGCCGGCAAGGTTACGCGCATATACCCGAGAGAGATGTACGTGAAGCAGCACCACCCTTCCCTACATGGAAGGGGCGATGGTGACTCTTGTTCGTATTCAAACGCGACTGACTGTCACAGAACCAAGTCACCTTCGTCAGCCAAACGTCTGTCATCCACGTCTCCACCCACAAACTACCATGCCACTACGTCTCCATTACTATCGGCGATCGGTGCCACTCGAAACACGGCCGCACAATACACCAACGAGTGGGCCAAGTCAGTTCCCTTCTTTCCAAACTCCGGCTCCCCGGGTAATGGGGGCATCGCTATAGCCAGCTCTCCGCCTACCTTTCATAACTCGCCTGGTGCACGAGACGGGCTGTACGCACCACAGGCCATGTCAAACTCACCTCCAGGTGCACGACCCCTGAGCCACCCCAACCAATACACCAACTTTGGTGGACGCGTACAGAACTCGCCTGGAAGAGACCGTAGAGCATCTGTGTACTCTCAACAAGGCGTTCGCCCGCCCTCACAGCAGTTCATGCCGAACCCGCCTCTGCCGCATCAACCTCAAGCACACTACTATGGCTTGCCAAACATCGACTTCGGCCTCAACAACGGCCAGTCCGATGGCATCCAGCCAGGGGAAGGAGGCTACTTCTGTGGCTTCGATACTCTGTCCATGGCAGGAGACGAGGCAGCTCGAACTACAGAGAACGTGCTGCTTGTTGGGTCGCAAGGTGGGCTCGATGTCTTCCGGGTTGAAAAGAGCAAGATGGACATTGTAGGTCGACTAGAAGGACTTCGGGGCGCTGTAATAGGCGCCAAGATCTTGCCTTGGATCTCGCGGCACGATCCCTTAGCTGCTTCCCGTCCACTGATCGCGCTTATCCTCCACGGTCCGGTCGTGAAAGACAGCAGAAGCTCTAGTGGAAGCGGTGCATCCTCTGTGGCTGACGATTCGGCGTCTGAGTCACCTAGTAGGCCGTCCTCACGACATGGAAATCAAGAGGGGCAAATCAGTGGTTACCAAACTACGGTCGAAGTTTACTCACTGAAGGAGAGGCGGAGAATGGCTGTCCTGTATCGCACTCCCCTGATACCTCTCACGAGCCCAATCGATAGCCCCATGTTTCAGCCTCCACCTCCAGCAGGCGACTTCGTCATTGATGCGAGGGGGAAGTTTGTTGTTGTGGCGTCTGGTGCAAGTGGAGAAGTCTTCGTATTCGCGCCTTACCACGAAGGTCACTCTGAGTATGCAGAGCGATTCCGCTGCATCGGTAAACTGTGGACATCCGTTCAGAATCGGGAACGGGCCATACATTCAGGCGGTTCCAGTGCCGTTGACGGCAGCCATGACGAGATTCCTCCTGAGAAGTATGGCTTGCCTGTGTTTTCGCTCTCCGATCGTTGGCTCGCCGTCACCCCACCAGCGTCAAGCGCGCTCTACCCTGTCAACGGTATAGCCCTGACTTCACCTTACTACGAGCGCGCTCCGGGCCTTGGGCACCACAGCGTACCGCCTCAGCCGTCTCCCAACTGCGCTGTCGATGTGCCCAACGAATCAGGCTTGATCGATAGACTTACCAGGGAGGGAACACAAGTTGCAATCAAGGGTGCACGTTGGGCCACTGAGAAGGGAATGCAGGCTTTCAAGAGCTACATGAACAAGGGCCAGCAAGGAGCTAACGTGCCATATGGTCAAGATCCCATGCAGCATTACTTTCCACCGACCCATGGCCACAACCAGACTCAGCCAAGACAAGAGGCATCTGTGATCTCCGTCTATGATCTGCAGAGACTGGCAGACGCAGAGGAAACGAGGAATAAGAACGCACTTCATCCGGTCGCCACTATACCCGCGGCTCTCGGTTGCAGCTTCATGTCATTCGCCCCCAGCGGTCTTATGCTCATGACTGTGAGCAAGAAGGGCGACTATCAAGATGTTTGGGACCTGAAGCGCATGAACTTCCGAAGAGCACGTAAGACGTTAAGGGAACAGCCAACAGGACCTTACGTACGACAAGTCGCTCGCTTCACCAGAATGACTGTTGCGAACGTCATCGATGTTGTTTGGTCTGCCCCTCGAGTCGACAAACTGGCTGTCATCACGGACAAGGGAACAGTGCACATGTTCCCGATGCCTGCGTCGGCCTTCCAATGGCCACCAGCTCGGCGCATTCGTCCAGCTGCACCAGCCCCACCAAAGGATGTCGCGTCCCCCACAGGTCCCGCTGGTGTGATGAACTCAGCAATGCAAGCTGTCAATAGCGCTAGGCCTTGGTTTGATGCTGTTCGCGCTAAGAACAGCGTCGGCGGAACTCGATTCAGTCTCAGTGGCTTGGGTGTAACCCCTGCCGCTGGCGCAAAATCTGGCAAAGCCGTCGCTGCCAATGTGGGCAAGTCAATCAACAACATCCGGCATGCTGGCGACAACAAGATGACACTTCCGTCATCGCCTAGCGGTATCAAGCCTTATAGCGTACGTTGGCTTTCCGGTAGAGGCCGTGGCTCCATCGCATTAGCATCCGGCGGAGTACTTCAGATCTGGAGGGTGCAGATGAGAGCTGCGACAGGCAAGGGGAAATCATCGCATACTGCATCCATAACCAAGAAGAAGACAGTGGAGTTCGGACTTGCTCCCATCTCGGATACCGCACTACCACCCTCCGTCACGGAGCAACTGTTCCCGCAACCTGGTGATCCTGAGCCAACACTTGACTGCTACGGTGACTGGCTTCCTCGCGCTTTGCCTTCTCGCAAGCCTACCGTGCCATCTCTCGCACCACTCAGCTTCTCCGAGATTGAGACGAACCCTCCTTACCAGCCCTTCTACACCGACAAACGTGTCACGCGTTTTGTCTACTCCAGACAAGCACCCGAGGTTCAAGAGAGTAGCAGCGAATACCAGCCCTCGTTACCGGCACTTATCTCCGATCTCCATCACGAAGATAGCTCGCCATGGCTCTTTGGTGAGACCGTAGAGGGAACACGTATCTCCACGCCAATCACTCAGGCGTATGACTCTGGAGAGGATGACATCACGGGCGTTGCCGCCAGGATCGAGAACAAGCTTGTTCTTCGAGACGGCGAAGAGGAGGTAGAGCAGGTTGTCGTCACCACACGACGTCGGCGCGTGAAGAAGGAGGGTATCGACGGCGACGAGGAGGGTTTCTTCGAGGACGATTGCGAGGTGTTGGATTTCGCAGAGGATAGGGTGTGAGCGTGTGCATTCGCTCTACCTCTCTTCCATTCAACATGTCCTTCCACACACCACCCCTACATTCGCTACAACATTTGCATCAGATCGGGCGTTGTCATCTTGGGTAAGGCGCAGCAATAGGCGCCGGCGTTTCTTCTTTTTGGGTCAGGAGGAATTCGCATCATTAGGATACCACGCAGCCGACAGCGGCCCTCGGCTTGCAACATCAATACACAACTTAGATAGCCAATAGATGGATTAGGATTAGCAACTACGCTCTATTTTACGCAACGGATATGAAGTGATGTGCTTGCAGTCTAACCTTGGGTCGTATATGGCCGTTGTTACTCCATGATCGTGTCTTTAACTCCGTTATCCCCGTCCGCCGACTAACTCCATCGTGCTGGATGGTCGGCAGCGGATGGTCGGGGAAAATATCAAGCTTTCGTTAGAGCATCAGAGGTGCTCATTGGATGCATGCGGGTTTGATTTGCGTGGCTTTTGCACTACGTAGACGTGTTGTTACTGTCCCGTCAAGGGGAATGCATGCTTACGGTACTCCAGCCGCGCACTACAGCAGAATGTGCAAGTGATTTATTGCACTTTCGGTTGTTTAGCTGTAGGTAGCGTGTGGCGGTGGAGCTGGATCATGAGCCCATGAAAGAAGCTATCCGTAGTCGTAGAGTTTAGGGTTGGGTGTGGAGATAGAAGGCGGAGGCAGAGGATGAGACATATAAAGAGAAGACTACAGCCGCCAACAAGACATTATCAAGCTCACATCAACACGAAGAATCATCAAATCTACATCAAACAGTCCGCAACTAAACGAAGAAACATTAACATGTCTTCCACCGACCAGACCATCGTTCTCATCACCGGCGGTACGCAAACACCCCTCTACTCCCTACTCCATACCTTCTTCCCACCTTTCCCCCTCTTTCCATCACTCCAAAGATCCCCTTTCAACCCTGACTAACACGCTATCCCAGCCAACGGCGGCATCGGCTTCTCCCTCGCCACCCAACTCCTCGAAAACGCCAAATACCTCGTCCTCCTCGGCAGCCGCTCCGCTGAGAAAGGCGAAGCCGCTGTGAAACAGCTCCAGGGAAAAGGATTGCCTGGGAAAGTGGAGTTGGTGCAGATTGATGTCAGCGACGAGACGAGTATTCAGAAAGCGAAGGATGTGGTCGAGGAGAAATATGGTCGGTAAGTTCACTCCCCTATTCCCTTATCATCTCCATCTCCAACTCCAGTGCTTCAAATCATACTAACGACATCCCCACCAGCATCGACGCCCTCGTAAACAACGCCGCCATAACCGGCGAAGCCCCCGCCTCCGCCTCTCTCGCCACGCGCATGACATCCGCCTTCCTAACCAACGCCACGGGCCCAGCCGTCATCGTAGAGACCTTCGCTCCCCTCCTCGCGAAGAGCGCGGAGATGGGCAAGACGCCGCGGATTCTGAATGTGTCGAGTGGAGCCGGGAGTATTGGGTTGAGGAGCGATAGGACGAATCCGCATCAGGTTATGAAGAACGTATGGCCCCCGCTCTTTCAATCGGCTGTTTTGGTAAGATTGGTGTGGGTGGGGTTGGTTTGGTGCACGGGTGGGATTTTTGCTGATATGAGAGATAGTTGCCATACCGCAGTTCCAAAGCGGCGCTGAACATGCTTACTGCGTGTCAGGACTATGAGTATGGACCTAAGGGGTGGAAGGTGTTTTGCTTCTGTCCGGGGTTCACGGAGAGTAATTTGGGGCCTAGGGTACGTTTTGGCCGTTTCGTGGCATCCCTCGCTGATTTGGGCTGACGTTTGCTAACAACTGTGATAGAACAAACCGGAGCATGGGGCCAAGCCTACTAGTGAGGGCGCGAAGCCCATGGTTGCTATTTTGGAGGGGGCGAGGGATGAGGAGTGTGGGGGGTTCTTGAAGGCTGAGGGGGGTTGGCCTTGGTAGACGGGTGAACGTGGTCTCGGGACGGGCAATTTGCACGTAGTTTGGGAGATAGCGAGTAGTGTGACAAAGTGAAAGGGGTATCTGCATTTGTTCCTTCATATCTTCGTTCCACCACTTATCCTTACACACGTCGCCTTTTGCCTACATCCAGCCTGCCCATCTCATTGCCTCAAGAACATCTTGTAGCTTGAGCTATCCGTGACCTCCTTATACGGGTATCCAATATCCTTCAAGAAGCTCGCCAACTTGCTACTGTCCTCCTCTTTGCATTGTATTCCAGCCAAGATCTTCGCAACGTCGCCGCCGTAGTTCCTGTAGTGGAAAAGACTGATGTTCATCCCCGGTTGCAGTGTGTTCAGGAACTTGTACAGGGCGCCACCTCGCTCGGGGAATTCGAACATGTACATATGCTCATCGGCGGCGTTGCTGCGCCCTCCGACTAGGTAGCGGATATGTGACTTTACGAGCTCGTCCTGAGAGAGGTCCTCGGCAGTCATGCCTTCAGCGGCGAGACGTTCGATGAGGTCGGGTAGATCGCGGGCCCTTGTCGCCGCCTTGAGTTCAACACCAACGAGGATCTGAGCTGACTCAGGGCCACAGTAGCGGTAGCTGAATTCTGTGACTGCCATGGGGTGGATGATGGAAACGAGCTTGGCAAATGAACCAGGTTGTTCGGGGATGGTGACGGAGAGGATGGCTTCTTTGTTCTCACCGATGGCAGCGCGCTCGGCGACGAAGCGGAGACGGTCGAAGTTCATGTTTGCGCCGCTGGCAATGGCGACCAGACCACGGTTGCGATCTGGTGACGGGTTGCGGCTCACCCACTTCTTCAGACCCGCAAGGGCAAGCGCGCCTGCAGGCTCTACAATGGAGCGTGTATCTTCGAACATATCCTTGATGGCTGCACATGTCTCGTCGGTTGTGACCTGGACCACCTCGTCGACGACCTCTTGACATATCCTGAATGTCTCCTCTCCCACTGTCTTGACCGCAGCTCCGTCAGCGAAGAGTCCGACGTCCTTCAAGAAGACGCGCTTTCCGGCTTTGAGCGATTCAACCATAGCGTTTGCGTCGTACTGCTCCACTCCTATGATCTTGACGTGTGGTGCTATTCGCTTGATATATACGCCTGTGCCTGCAATGAGACCACCGCCACCCACACAGCAGAAGACGGCCTTGAGGTCTTGCAAGTTTGTCTGTCGCAGCAACTCCATGCCAACCGTACCCTGACCTGCAATGACATACGGGTCGTCGAATGGCGGGATAGACACAAGCCCATGCAGCTTCTCCAATCGCGCAGCCTCTGCCTTTGCAGCGTCGAAGTCAGCTCCATGTAGGATGACTGAGCCGCCTAGCCGTGAGACGTTCTTGTGCTTGATGTCGGGCGTTCCTGAGGGCATGACGATAGTTGCGGGAATCTTGAGCTTGCGCGCAGAGTACGCCACACCTTGCGCATGGTTTCCGGCGCTGCATGCGACAACACCCCGCCACCTGTCCTTGGGATCCAAATGTGCCATCTTGTTGTATGCGCCGCGCAGCTTGAAGCTGAACACGGGCTGGAGATCCTCGCGCTTGAGCAGAACATTGCATTCTAGCCTGTTGCTGAGATTGGTTGCGTGGGTGAGGGGCGTTTCCTGCACGACCTCGTAGACGCGCGAGGTGAGGATGAGGCGGAGATAGTCGGGGTAGCCGTTGGGGAGCAGGAAGGCGTCGGGTATGACATCGTTGGTTCGCGAAGACGTGGATTCCGAGGGCGGACTCGGGTTCGCGCTGTACTCGGTCAGGGCGAGGCCGTTCTTGGGTGTGCGGGGCGAGACAAGGCCATTGGGGCCGTTGTCGGGCGTCGTCGGTCGTGAGTAGTCGGGGACCGTCGTCATGGTGGTGTTATGCCAGAAGTGCAGCTTGTTGAGCGTGTCTTTGTATTTTTTGGGCGAGTCATCGGAGGCTCGGTCGGCCTGCATCGGAGGCAGGGGTGCGTCTAGCGTCATGGGGAGCTATGGTGGGGTAGATGGCCTCCAACCTCCCAACTTCATCTCATCTCGCGTCGGATGGCGAACCCTCCGACATGTCGCGCCCAACATCCCCTTTTGAACTTTTTCCTGTGCTTCCTACGCGTTTTTCTCGTGTCGTATGCTTCTGCCGTCGTCTGCATCTACTAGTTTCGTTTGTCGCCATGTTTGCTCTCGATACCTCCTGACGGTCTCCGCGTCATCCTCTTCTAGTATCTGGCGTCGAGAAGACACGCCACGGACTCCAGGCTCCACTGGCGCACACAATGGCTAGTATCTATACGACGCTCGTATGCTTCAGAGCATTGCGCTGATGCTCAGACGCGCGCGCGGGGTGACGACGTAGTCCCCGGGGGAGGCTGCAGTAGTCGGCCTGTTGGTGTGGTCCTAAACGACTAGGCTGTCCTCTTCCAGCTCCGTTCTGCATATACGGGTGCGTTGGCAACCTGTACGACGACTTGCAGGAGAAGAAACGGAGAACGTTGCGGACGAGCCCACGCGAGCGGCTAGGAATTCCCTCATTTCTGTCGTTTGAGCTTGTTGTCGATGCCATTGGAATGTAGGGCGAGGTGGTTTGCATGTGGTGGTTGAATTGTAATCGGTCGTTACGGTGGCGGTCGATCGTTAGTGCGGAAAGGGCTGAAGCTTTGCCCATGGCTCGATCTGAAGTTCACAGTGTCACGACCCACAGCAACTCGTTCTTGTTCAACTCAACTCAACCTTCCGCATCCTTCTCTACTGACTGAGCAGACTTAGCCAGGCCATCTAGAGCTGGAGGACCGCATCTATGTCCGCTCTGTCTGCATACCTCGAGTGACAGGATAGGCTGGTCGCCTTCTGTACGCTCGAGCGGAGAAGGCTTCGCCAGTCACTGACGAGAGCAGGATCTCGAGTACTCTTGTAGTGAGCTTGCTGTCGCGCCACTTAATGCTTTCCAGGTACTCGAATCGTTGACGCGTTGTTCGCGGGCCTGACTTCGAGAACAAGCCGCACTTGATCTCATTGCCGACTATCCTCCGCTCGACTTCCTCCGCATTCTCAACACACCACTGGGCCGCAGTCTCAGGAAGCTCTCCTTGAATTGCTCCTGTGGCCATGCAGTACGCGCTGCACTATAATGGGAGTCTGGGCGTTGCCGTGATGTCCCAGCGGAGCGATCCAATTCTCCGATGCTCGGACCAAACACCCTGCTCTTGCAAATCGCCTCTCCGTCTGCCTCTTCAACCACGCTCAAGGGTGTTCTCTTCGATTGCTTCAGTACTATAGAGCTGGCCATGAAGCGGACGACTCTCTAGGTATGCGCTCCCACACCCTATGAACGGGCGACCTTGCTGACCGAACACAATCTTCAGGCCGCATCGAAGGGTTCCTGTACGATACCACCTGCCTCCTCTTTACCGCGCATCGACGTTCGACCTTCGTCTCAACCACCATTGTGATCGACGTAGCGCTTTCTACCCCGACTGCAATTGCCACCCGCACTAGACAGAGCATCATCCACCTCTTACTTCCGCGGAGTAGAAGGGCAAAGAACTCACAGCCAGGTCCCATGCCCGGCGGCTTCAGCGGTCATACCCTTCGCCATGGGAGAACTCGGGCACCTGCGCCGCAGATCCAGAACGAACAACTTGTAATTTGGTCACGCGGACCGACTGTTCACAGGTCTCGAGCACTCCAGTCGAGCAGCAAGGTGTTACTGCCGGTCTTTCCGCCTACGCCCCTCTTGTGCAAGTGTTGGAAGATATCCGAGAGCCATTGCTTGGAAAGCTCCCTTGCATGGGTACCAGGATCGAACTTCAGTCGGAAGGCTCGCACAGCCAGGTGGCCTCCGTCATCCAAGAACAGTTGGTTGTTGATCCATCTCTTAACGAAGGTCCGGTCGCAAGGAGCGTCGGTACCGAAGATCATTCTGCCTGTATTGCGGCTGGCTCCGAGGTGGACTACTTCTTCTTCGTAACTGAAGCCAATCTCATCCGAGCCTTCGAAAGGCTGTGCCACCCCATCTTTTAAGATAGGATCGAAGCGAATCTTGAAGTTGGCCAGGCTGTATCGATCCTCTCTCATCGATGTGGAAATGGTCCAAACATTCTGGGAAATTGAACCATGTCCATGATCTTCGCAGCGAAAAACGAATGTGTTCTGAAAGAAGACGTCTCGGATCATGTCGCCCCATTCACGGCAGACTCTACGAAGGTCGAGTATCTTGGGGATTTTCGTGCAGGGATGAAATTGGGCGTCCCAGTCACTGACCATACATCTATCAATATCGATACGATGTGTTGGAAGTGCGAAAGTGGCGTGGAAACGACTGGGAGCATGTGCGGATGGCTGGTTCTTCAGTGCCATGATGGTCGGGCCTCCGAACAAAGCAACTCGCTTGAAAATTTTGTCGAGCACTTCTGCCGGCATGTCGGCTATGCCCTTTGCAGTTGTTCCTGGGTATATGCGGCTACTTGGGATGTATGGCGGTGTATCCCAGTACAATGGCTTGTTGAGCAGGTAACGCTCCGTTGTGAGCATACTCTCTTCACCGGGCGGAAGAGTGATTCCATATCCCATTGGAATCCCTCTGCCTTCTGGTTTGCATGGTGGGGGCCAGTCAAGAAGGTTACCCTCGAGATATCCGTAGTGGGGGAAGAGACGATCATATTCGTCAGATCGCTCACCAGCTTCAGGACCGAAGATGTTTCGCCACTCCATGAATCCATAAAAGAGGAAGAGTTGCTGGCATTGGCCAGGAAAGTTGCACGTATTAAGCGACCGCCGCGGAGATGCCAAAAGCACCAATAGCTTGAGCTGCGGGACTGAAAATCCCGGTCTGGTGTTTGGATCGCTCTGGGCGGCATCCCACGTCGTACGCAAGTATGTACCTGGGGTTGACATCTCCCTAACGAACCAGGAGACGTCCTCGGCGCCCATGGATGTGAGCCGCAAACCTGGGAAGCGGCTGTACACTTCTGCGACCTCGCGTTTACCGTCGTCTGTATCTCGCCAGATGCGAAAGGCGTCCTCCAGCTCTTTCTCGTTCGCTAGCCATGCGTTGTAGGTCATCGCATTCTGCCCCTCTCTCCAGACTCGTTTCTCTTCTGTTGTAGTAGGGCGGGCAGGCTGGTGCAGGGTCGCGGTGTCCGGCTCGTTCGGGTCGATGGGAGACGCTGGATCTGTTAGCGACATATCGGTCTGGACAGGAGACGACTTACGGGGCAGCACGGGTCGAGTTGCATGCTCGAGAACCGCAAGCATGCTGTCGTCTTGGAGGCTGCTCATCGTTGCTTTGGGCTTGGCTTCGTGGGCAGATGTAAGCAATCTTCTCGGCGGGCGCTTGATCGCTGGGCGTCTGTGGCGTGGGGATACCAGCAGTCAATCCCTTCGATGATCCGGAAAGTAGCAGATTTGCTGCCGTAAAGCGATCGTATGCTGTACGAGTTGCTTGGTGGCTGTCTTTGCGATGGAGATGGCCGGCTGTCACGACGACCTGGGCTTTGAAACCTGGCGACGGGACACGAGGAGGTTTGCTGTTGTCTTCCCGGCGTCAGATGCTCTCCTGGGTGGCCTTCTCGGTGTCCGATGTGTTCCTGGGTGCGCTTTGAGAGCCGTCAGGAGTGTTTCCCGAAGAGAATGTGCCTGGGGTCGCGGTCGTCCTCGATCTGGGTCGGCGAGAAGGGGTAGCCGCAGAAGTTACAGGCGGCGCCGTTATCGTTACCAGTATCTTCGCGAGCCCGGCGCAGGTGTGCGAGCCGATGAGAAGAGCTGTTGTCGTGGCTGTCGCCGTCTTTAGTTGTGGCTAAGATCGCGATGGTCGAACAAGGCCGCGGAGGTGGCCGATGGCGCGCAGGTGCTTATGGACGTCTCGAATTTGTCGCACTTGTGCTGGTCACAATCTACGTGCAGAGAGCTGTCGGCGCAGTGTCTGAAAAGGAGGACGTGGTTGTGGGTGGCTGTCGCGTGGTGAAGCTATCAAGAGTTCGGAGGCGGAAGTCGTCGTGAGAGACGGACGCAGACAAACGTCGAACTCGGTCGCCACGCTAGAACGTCACTGCAAAGTTCAGACGAGGACAACGGGTTTTCAGAATCATCAAGGCAACGCAGCCTGTGTACAGCGACTGCGCCAGCGACACAGATTATCAGTCGAATACTAGGCGCGAGGCTTGCAACCCGGCCCCTGGCTTCTTCTACATCACGCACGCACGATTGCTCTGGAAATAAGACTGGCAACAGAGTGCTTCTTCTGACTGAGCTGCAGCATATCATTAGACACGCCTATGTGTTGTCCAGTAACCAACGCCTCCTCCAAGCTGTTGTATTGCCGTCAGGTTTGCCAAATACCAAGTCTATGTATTCTGAAGGTCATCGCGTCACATGTACCCTATATCTCCTCCTCCGACATGGTCTTTCCCTATTTCAGGGACAGGATGAAGGATGAGCCGGGAGGAATATCGGTTGAGCTCCAATCTGGGTGCTGGAGCAGGATGAAGAACGTTTGGATCGTTACCTCGCTCCATATTTCTGGGAGAAACCACGATGTCGCCTCATAACCTCCAGTGAACTGTATACCCCGAATGAGAAGGCCATTGGGTGTTTGGACAAACATCCTGTTGGGGTCCATCGCCAAGAGCTCAGCATCTTCATCGCTTATGGTCGGCATTTGCTTCTCCCTGCTGAGAGCCAAGTCTATACCCGTTGTCGTACACTCGATGCCAACCTCATGGTCCGTTGCTACGAGTCCCAGATACGTGCGCCGCCACTCGTCGCGATATTCAACCTTGATTGATGCGCCGCGCTCGATGAGTTTGGGTTCGATCTGGCAGGGGAGAAACCACATAGGCTTTATGCCAAGGTCACTTGACTGGCCGTGCTGAAACACCATGGGGCTCTTGTAGAAGACTTCGAGCATGCAACGCGCAAAGAGCTTGTTGACACGGCGAATCCCTAAGACCTTGCGCACCACCTCCAAGCCAAGGGGCCGGACCACCGGCGTTGTGTAGCTCTGGCTTCCTTTGTCTTCAGTCCAGTGTACCTCGCAAGCTGTCAGGGAAATGAAGGCGAGATTTTCGGGAATGGGAAAGCCGTTGTAGTCCAAAACAAGCACACCTTTGATGTGGTTGGCGCGGTGGTGCTTGAGGATCTGCAAGAATATCTCCTCGGGCAGTCCCGAAGAGAAGAACTGGAACGCGGAAGCGACCTCTGCGTCCGTACCTGGCGTCATCGCGTTCGATCTGGGAGTCTCGCTGAGCGCGTTCAGATTGCTGTAGGCGACTCTGGTGTGATCGTCGTGGTCTGGGCGGAAGATCGTAGGTTGTCGGCGGGCTCGACGTGGAGATGGCGATCAATCTGCAGGAGGGAGACTGCGTCGCAGATCTCTACTGGCCGTTGAAAAGGCGGTGGTGCAGTTGTCGTGTACAGGAGTCGAGTGCGGGGTGTGCTGATCTGCCTGAGCGCCAACAGGTGCGGTACACAGCGCCGACGACGCCTTGCTTGTGAAGAGCTCAACGACTGTGCTTATGATTTGAGAAAGAGAGCGGGGGATACAGACGATCGTTTCGTGTGTTGTGGGTGGCGCGCAGATCGTGGTGCGGTTGTCGAGACAAGTGAGACGCACACGCACTGGACGAACAAGACTGCCACGCCAAAATGCAAGGCCCGAGCGCTATCTCATGATGATGCCGTCGGTGTAGACGACTTCAGTGTTCTCAGGGATTGGTATGAGATATGATGCGGGCATTTAGACGCACGTCGGGCAGGTGTCATGATACATCAACGTCGATACCTGGAGGGTCGAGAAAGACACCTACAGCAGAAGTGGCTTGTATCACAAAAGGTTCATGGGCATGTTTTTAAAGAAGGATAATGGGAGGACATGTCTTCATATTGCTTGGTTTATCTGATACCAAGCGGCCAGCTCCTGCATCGACAAGATGTCTTCTGTCGAGGGCCAGCAACCACAAACGCCGACGCTAAATGCTTATCAACCCGGAGACCACACAAGACCCCTTCATCCACTCCGCTTCTCCATCGCACCCTTGGACTTCGCCTCCATCGCACCCTGGGTCGTCGCCGCCATGGTCAGTGTGCCGTTGCCCAACTGTCCAAGACCCCAGAACTTCTGGGACGCTGGCTGGCCCAAGTGGACCGGGAAGGTACCCGAGTAGATCTCGCCCTCGTCCTCCTCCTGGACGACACTGACAGGTGCCTCCCGAGCGATGACGTACTCGGCCATCTCAATCCTGGAACCGAAGTTCGCAGGGTTGCCGCCGACGGCTCGCACCATCTGATGTAGTCCTTTGAAGCCCGCAACTGTGCTCGGGCTACACTGCTGGAAAGCCGCCCAGCGGAACTGACCGTCCGGCTGCTTCGTGTAGACGCGCTTGCCGTCTTCCTTGGCATCCTTGAGGGCGTCGCTGTTCTTGACGCACTGCAACATGTTAGTCAGTCACTAAGTGATGTCGAGAGGGGTTAGTACTTACACCAGTTTTGGCACCATACGACCAGTACGTATTGGTCGCGTTGACCACGCAAGCCTGATAGTACTCCCACTCACCCAATGTAGGCGCCGGGGGAGCAGGCTGTTGACCAGTGGGCGGCGGCACGCGAGGACGTAGAGATCCGGTGGTCTCGAAGAAGGAAGAAGGGGGGAACGCGGCAGGACCGAATTCGGCCAGCTCTCGATCCACCATCTCTTTGCGCGCGGCGAGACCAACCGCGTTGATACGGGGGGCGGTTCTCGCTTTCTCACGGGCGTCGGCGAGGAAACGTTCCTCGTTCTCGGCGAGGCTCTCGAGCATGGAGCGGTCGAGATCGTGGCGGGCGAGGAACTCGTCTGACTGGGAGAGAGCAAAACGCATTGTGATGATGATGTGAGAGTGTCGTTGCTAAGGAGGGGAAGAGGGACAGCGTTGTTGTGCCTTTTGAGCTTGCGCCAAGACTTTGAGCGTGCTAGCGTGGTCAGCCAACGGTCACCCAGGCAATGCTCGATGAGGAATGAGGAAGTGACGGTGAGAGGGGCGGCTTCCGAGCCTCTACCGTTCGGCGGAAGCTTCCAGACACGAGCTGGGCCGTTCTCAGACTTTTCCGAGTAACAATTCGGGGAAAGGAGTTCACTTGTGGATTCTTGGATCACGGGGCATCACGACGAAGCTCTCTGATTGTCTAGAGGCGTCATCTTGCATTCATACGGCTATCATGGAGGAAGAGGACATACTGCCTGACTGCAGCTCATGCATTGTTCTAATCTACACCGGCGTCTTTACACCCCTAATCCTGCTCTATGGTATTCTTGAGCCAGGCTGCCTGCGCCAACAACCAATCTGGACCTGGCGGAGTGAACAGCAACCTAGAAGGATATTTGAAGTCGACCGTGACTTCCCCAACGCCACGCAATTTGCTGAGAGCACCAACTTCAGGGGCAGTGCGAAAAACTTGCTCCCAAGGTGTCTGTCCTCCTTGTTGTCTAGGGTGGTAGACGTAGACGTGCCGCTCGAACGCGCGGGCAGAGATTAGTATGCGTAGTCTCCTAATCTTCAATTGATGTTGGGAGAAGTTAACGCTTGACCGCGGGAACTGGCTCGTGCCGAAGGTCGAGACGCATATCTCAACGTCGTGTATGAGGGTCTGGAGATCTGGATGGACGCCGCTTAGCCACTTCTGGCCGAAGGACAAGTCGAAGCGGTTCTTTCCAAAGAAGGCCTCTCGCACGATTGGAGGCAGCCGCTTTGCGACCAAGCCTATACTCAAGATCTCGAGCATTGGCTTGAGGACTCTCGCCTTGGAAGGCGCAGTCTGTGTTGAGAGGATGCGGGGGTGTGCCCGCAATACAGGCTCCACCCTCCGAGACCTTGTTAAACTTGGCGATACCCTGTCCTCCTCTACCAGCACGTATTCGAAAATTGTGAGGAGTATCTCGGTGGGCAAAGCCAGAAGCCCGCGAGGAGGTTGGTTTGGGCCTGCGGCCGTCGGCGGGGAGGTACTCGCGACGACGACGTTGGTACTGCTGAGCTGCTTCGCAGCGGCAGGAGGGAGCGAGGAGGAGGACGGCATCTTCTGTGATGCAGACGAGGGCGGGGAAGTCGAGGTGCGTCAAAGACGTACTGCGATCGGGAGAGGAGGTGCGGAGAGATTGCTTTCCGTCAAGGTACTCGATCAGGCGCCGCAGCTGGACTCGAGGATAGTGTCGAATGTGTGGTAGGAGAGCTGAAGCCAGAAGAAGAGAGATTGTGGGTGATATTGAAGGGATTGGAGAAGTTGGC